ACAAGGATCCATTTGCGTGTGAGATGTTTGGACAAGAAAATGGAACGAACAATCACTTTAAACAAATCCCAGCCACAATTCAATCATCGTAGAAGCTTCCTCATATCCCTCACATGTTCCTGGGGAGAGGAGTCTGCTATTTATCTCCGTCTAGTGATTATTAATCGGTGGGCTTAACCGTCCAAAAGAGAGAGCCTCATTTGGTTCAGATGGAGAAGGATGCTGGACCAGTTATAGACCCAGGATTATATCGGGTTTCCGCTTGTGCCCCGGAAGCTTATAGGGGATAAAAGAATGCTCACTGAGGTTTTGAAGTTTGGCCCCAAAAAAAAAAATACTGAGGTTTTCAAGGGGAATATTTTGTTTGATTTAAAAAATATTTGGAAATGAGAGAATAGGAGACAGAGAAAGATAAAGCTGACAAGTTGTCGTTTACTCTCTACTTGAAAAATATTTTACTCTTTTTTTTTTTAATAATACGCGCACTCAACTCACGATCGTACACTGAAAAAATAATTTGAAAAAAAAAAATGTTTGTTGTCGATTGAGCTATAATGTCCCCATTTCAATTTCATGCTACTGTTGAAGTAATTGAAAGATAAATGTATAGTCAAAACGGGAGTGGGATTGAGGTAAATAGTCAGCAGTTTAAAACCTTCTTATATAATTAAAGAAAGGAAGAAAAGATAAACTTGTTTGAAAGAAAGAGGGCTCGAGGCGAATACTTTTCATTTGTTTTTTTCCTTAAAAAAATTGAATCTCTTTTATCCTTTTCTTGCATTGTATTCCCTGCCTTCTCTCTGATACTGGAGCTATAGAGTTGGTTGAAGCTATCAATACACTTCAATGGATAATTGATATTCACGGGAAGTGATACTATTTATTAAATTATAAACTGAATTATTTATGTTGAATTCTATATATATGTGTGTGTGTGAATACGCCTTCTAGAATAGTGTTATAATATAATATTCATTTTTTTTTTTACAAAAGTTAGTGAAACATTTATAATGCATTTTAAAAAATGCCCTTCATGCAATTAACTATCAATTTAATGTGAAGTATCGTCTTTGAATCTTTTCAATAGATTTAACTAAGGGTATCTTTGAAATGTGAAGATAATTTGTTATGTATGTTACATCATTAATGAAGTTTTATCTTTTTTTCCTCCCTTAAACTGCGGTTAAAAAGCACTCTCTCCATTGTCAACTGCAAGGCAAGATTCGACGTTTATTGATCTGTATATAAAAGCAGACTTGCACAGTATCTTTGATGACGGAGTGAGTAATATGTCATGGACCCCTGAAAGTAGTAATTAGTAAAGTAAAAACTAATAAATGGTTAACAAGGAGCATCAATTTTAGCGGTGACATTTTGGGAGTAATAAATTAAGGCTGTTCAGCTACATTATATTGAAGCAAATGAAGATGGGAACTGTTATGGCACTGTGCATGGCAGCACTGTGGTTGGAATCAGGATTGTAAACATTTATAAGCATATTTTACATAAATTAAGATATTTTTTTCCACATACTTATCTCATATTCCGTAAATTAAGATTGAAGAATTGCTTATAAGCAATTCCAAACAGATCCTTTGTTTATTTCTTTCACTCAACTCCAAACCCTCCCCCCAACTTTCTCATAGTACACAAATGTATTGTTATGCTTGATCCAACTAGACCTCGAGTTAGAATCAAACCAGACTATAAGCTGTCTTGTTCAACTTGAAGCCTTTTTCATATCAAACCTGGAGTAGACGGCTAACTTGATCTAATTTTAATCCATACGCACCCTCACTATTCCAAGTTTGAAATTTCAATTCCTTTTTCGTTCTCCCAAATTCCACCATATCAGAACAAGCCTATATTATAGTGAGGCCAACCCTTCGTATAGGGATGTTGGAGGTTGATATATAGTTGAGTTGTTATGTCACTTCAAAACCCCTTACCTACCATTAACTTCTTTTGATTTTCATTCATCACTCCCAACTTACACATCTTCTTTCCTTGTTCTTCTACCAGTCACTCCCGGGCTTTGCGGGTCCCCCCAGTCAATTCTTAATCACACACAGCATGTGAATTCGGTGAAATTTTTTTCTTTCTTTGTTTGACAAAAACAGAAATCTAATCACAATGCACTATTCTACCAAGACGATGATAATTAAGCACGTGTTTTCTAGACCTCAACGTCATATTACTATTGCTTTTAAGTTATCTTTTCTATTAATAAGGTTAGCTTTACAGCGAGTACTATTTTCAATCCTTAATATAAAAGTTAATTGATTAATTTGAATAGATTAAAAAAATTAGTTATGTATAATAAATATGTGTTATTTTTTTAAAAATATTTTTGCTAATTAAATGTATTAGCTAGAATATTATTATTATAAAGACTACTTTAGAAAAAATAGATAAATATAAGAGACAAAGTAAATTGGACTCTTATATTTAGAATCAAAATAAAAGTAAAACGAGCTCTTATATTAAGGACCGGAGGTAGCATTAATTAGCTAAAATCAAATTTTACTAACAAAGTGTGAGATCTCGTATCACATGCAACAAAAATTGGTCCTTATAATATAAAAATAGTTGTTTTAATATGAAGAATGAACTAACAAGAGTTGGAATTAGCAGGAAAAAAACTAGTCATTTGCAACATAGTAGCGAAGAGGTTCTCATATTTAGTGTCCGATAGTATTTTAAACACAACACTGCTTTTAATAGAGCTTATAAAAAAAGCTGTTGAAGTATGAAATCTCAAATTCTAATACGTGTGAATACAAAAAAACTTAGTTCCCCAATTTAACTACTAGGACTTGTAATAATACTTAAATCTAACCCCAAAAAAGTTATAAAAACTAGGATGCTACATAAATGATGAACTGGAGGTAGCTAAGAAAGGTTCCTAACTCAGCCTTGCTGTCCTGAGTGGAGAAACATGGTGTTGGAATTTGGCATTGTCTCGTGTTATTATCTGTCTCTACAGAAATTATTGTGTTGTTCCCTGTTTGGTTGTTCCATGTTTTGACACTATCTGTCTCTTCCTGCATTAACTCCATTATTTTCACCCTCTCCCCTTTTCCACCAACCATATTAACCACAAACCAAATCATCCCTAGGTACCTGCTATGCTCGGTAAAATAACTAACACTATCAATGCATTTATGAGTCTCTTTCATCCCTTTCTGTACACCATACTAGGCCGATCGATATCTTAATTCTCATTACAACCTTTTTAATGTCATCATTACTATCTCACTTGCTTTCCTTTATCATTCTCCCCCACCATGCCCTGCTTATTCAATCATTCTCTGAGAACGATCAGGACACTGCCGATCGATCGCTGTACGTTTTCTTTCATTTATTATATACATTTAATTTTGATGATATTGATGGGTTTTAGAAATCAGATACATATACATATACATACACTCCTCCGGTCTTATAAGGGTCTTATATTTAAGACCGGAGAAGTGTATATATATGATAAGGGTCTTATATTTAAGACCGGAGGAGTGTATATATATATTGTGTGTGTGTCCGTCGGCCATCTAATAACAGAGAGTACAGGCAAAGAGGTCCATGTTCCCTATCTCCCTCCATATATTCAGTGCTCTCTGTTTCTTTCATAATGCCTTCCACACACACGCGCGCGCGCGAAGCTCTCATAGATCATAATAACCCAATTCTTTAATTTCAATGTTGTGCACCACTTCCTTTGTCCGTCTCTTTTTGGCGAAAAGATGAGACACCGCTTTAATATCGCCAGAAATTAAACCTAACACAATGAATGATATAAACCTTTTATAACTTAGTTGGGATCGATTATTATTTTATAATATATGAACATGTTGATGGGTTAATTATAAGCAAATATGCGAATAATAGAAGGCGCACGGTTCACGTCGAACATCTCAAAGCTGATGATTGTGGGCATTCATTTGGACGGATGAATTGTGTTTTTCAGATAGAATAATGATGATTTGGGTTTAATTTGGTAATGTCCAAAAGAGAAAATAATAATGAAGGAAAAGCTGAGAGTTGGAGGCTTGCACGCGTTTGGTTGCATATTCTGGGGTTAAAGAAAAAAAGGCATGCCAACGCAGAGGAGCCTATGGTGGGCTACCCACGTACTTATCTGTGCATATCCTTTCTTCTTCTAATCTCCCTTTCACATGTCCCCTTTTCTTCTCTCTCTAACTCCGATCCTTCCCTCCTTTCTTCTCTCTCCTCACTCCTTCTTCCTTTGCCTAAATGAAATGTATCCTTCAGTTCATGAAGCCCAGTGATATCCACTTCCCATTTAAATATGTGATCTTATATTATGATACCCTTGACATTTAATTTTTCATTGTTTATTTTAAAATCAGCACGAGTCATTTTTTTAATTTCTTGTTATTTTACTTAATTAATTTTCCAAGCGTATGAGCCAAAACGGCGGAACGGATATACATATCCATGCATGGATCTAGAAAGTTTAAACGATTGCAATAAAGTTTATTAAACTCAATAGGGAGAGAAAACTGTAGATACTTCTTTGTGCCTGTGCGTAGAATTTAATCCAAATCAACTCTTAGGAACTGGGAGAAGAATAAAATAAGCAATAACTTTCAGTTTTCATTTTAACCCCACATCGAAAATTTTGACTTTATTATTATTGAACAAGTTAGAGCGAAGCGTTTCCACCCCCCTTCACGTGGGCTTCTGCAAAGCAAACGGCATTACATGTGTGCGCGTTTTCGGCGTATGGACGACGCCTAAGTCCTAACCAAAGACAAAGAGGGTCCCGCATCAGTATTCTATGATTCAAGTCACTATACGATGACGTTTTGTCCCTTTGAGCCAGTCAAATGGACCATCCTTACTTCTAACCCATCTCAGCCGTCCATCTAATCACCAGCTCATTAACTCATGGTCTTCTCTTCTATTCCATATGATCACCCACTTTTTAAGCTCTCTGTCTCTCTCTAGGCTACGCAGCATAACCAGGGTGATCGAGAAAGGAGAAGAGAGAGAAAGAGAGAGATCGAGGACGAGAATGGCCGACAATAAACGCAGCATTTCAGTGATTGCAGACATGGATACTTCAAGCCGAGCTTTGGTGTCCAAGAAGAGGAAACCCGCCGTTGCTGGTTCTGGTTCTGCTTCCTCTGAATTGGAGCTATGCTCTTCCGTCGACCGCCTCCGCAGCACGCATTTGTGGGAAGGGTTGCACGACATGACCGTTTCACCTGCTAGTTCTGTGAGTTCCGCCGGGACGGTGCTTTCTGGCAGGTCATTCTCCTGCTGTTCCAGCAATGTCGTCAAAACTAGCTCAGGCGTTGTGAACAGCACGACGCCGCCTCCGCCGCAGCAACCAGATCTGGAGGTGCAAATTTTGATTTCTGAATGTGTTATGTATACTTTCTTATCACGTACTCTGCTGTATGTATCTGCTGGAATTACGCTTAATTGGTTTCTGAACTGCAATTTTGAGGAGGAAGAAAGAGACGCATAGAAAAACAAAACAAAGCAGCTAAATGTTCCCGAGAAGTAGCTATCCGCTCTTTTTTATACGGTTTCTAGTTCTGATATTTTCTCAACTTTTGTTTTTCTTCTATTTTTCTCAGCCGCCAAGCGGTCAGTCAATATAATCACCCACGCTTGTCAATTTCAAGTTGCGTTTCTTTTTATTCTTGAATTTGAGATATGAATTTCGTGTTTTTTTTTTTAAGTTACTGACAATAATGTGATCCTGCAGGCCAAAGGTTTCGAAACTGTAGAATCAACGTGCAGCGATATCAAATTATTCAGGTTTTCAACAATTTTCATTTCCTCTACTTGCGCGTTGAAATTTCATATCGATCGTCTTATTTCGCTTCCTCTCTGGTTAATACTTTCATATGATTTTGTTCAGGAGGGACATGTACTTGTTAAGCGAATCTTTCGGAGACTCGGAAGAAACAATGACGTTACAGGTCAAGTCACCACCGGCGGTGTTGAGCAAGCAGCGGAATATTCCGGTGGCTAAAATGGCGCCCAAGGAGGAGATTGAGGAGTTCTTTGCAATGGCTGAGAAGTACGAGCAAGAACGGTTCGCAGAGAAGTGAGTGCTTGTTTGAGTGGCGCAGGATGAGAGAGAGAGAGGATTGCGCACCGTAGAATTCGAACCTTAACAAACTAACAACTTTCTTCTTCCTTGCAGGTACAACTACGATATTGCTAAAGATATGCCGTTGGATGGCCGGTACCAATGGGTTCGTTTAAATTGAACATCCGCATGATATGAATCAGCCAGAGGGAAAAGGAAATTTTAGAGAAGGACTAGATCAGGGCGAGGAGGCTTAACCTGACACAAGGTAAAACGAAAACTGAATGCAAATTCCGGTCGCTAGCTAGCTCGATTGGGGCTGGTTTTGTACAGCTAACCGCTTTATCTTTATCTATATTGTGGAATAGAAGTCATAGCTTTCTGCGACATTGTCACTGTCACATTGGCACGGCACACCTAAATGGAACTTTCTTTCTGCAAGTGGAATCGCGTAAATCAGAGATGTAGGGATGAGGGGAGAAATCAAATTAATTTGATGTCCGGGTGTTGTTATATTGAACGTCTTTTTCACAGTTTTCAGTAGAGTACAAGAGGCCATTGATTGGGCCAATTCCTAGGGGTGGTTTTATTCACTGGGGCAAACAAATTCATGGATAAAACATTAACTTGTATTATTGATGATTAAGTTGTCTATGAATAATAATGTATGTGTTTTGGAAATTTCTTTTGGTTGTTTCTTCTCAGCCTTTCGCTGCTTCAAATCCTTTATGGGGGAATTCTTTCCATTTAGCCTCATTTTAGAATATTCTGTTCATGCCAAGGCTATGATTCCCCTATTTGGTGGGGACCATGTGCGTTTCGACATAAAGAAATGCCCTCATATATATATACATAAACTAATCAAGTCTTCTCTTCACCGTAAATGATTGAAAGTATATCAGCCTTTGAGCATGCACAAAATTAACAACCCCTCCAACAATGACCCCTCAACCCATAGTCTATATATATATATATAGGGCTACCCTATGTCGTAGGGACTCTATTAAAAATGCCACCATATTGGGTTGTCCGCTAGCTGTGTCCAGATTCTTGGATTATCTGGGTCGTGGCTATAACCATATTCTTGGCTTCCCAATGTCCCTCTTAACTTATCTCAGGAGAATCTTATCTGCTGGGCTTACTTCTGTGTGCTTAATTATTTTTTATGTTACAAAATATTAATGGTTCGGACGTGATGAGGAGAGAGCTATTTAATTTCATGCCTTGAAAGTTAACTTTCACAGCAGTAATGTTAATTTAATTTAAGCAAACTGCCAAAGGAAATTAACTTTTGTTGCTGTGTCAGTTTTATTTTTCTCTGTGGCGTGATAAAACAAAAGCACGGATGGACGTGACACAATATTCGTTATGAAGGGAAGAAATGAGTGTGAGGAGGGAGAAGAACAAAGTGTGGCAGAAGGCATTGTCGGAAGCTAAAGAAACAGGGTGGCTAGCCCTCCCTGACTAATGTCATCATTACACACGTGTCCAAAACCACCACCACCCTGATCCATGTGACCATGTTCATCAATCATCATCTCCACATTTTAGATAATACTATTGGATTGAAATTGTTGCTGGTCAAAAAAAAAAAAAAGAATTGGAATTGAATTGAATTCCCAGCCAAAAAAATGATGATGAAAGAAGAGGGATCGCACGTGGTATGGTGGAGTAATCGCGGGGGGATTAATTTGCTTTGGATCTGATGCCATTTTTCTTTTTCTGAAAAAGAAAAATTGCAGGGAAGGATGGACAGCTTTACAGGCGGGTTATGGTGGTAGTGGAGAATAATAGGATGTTGCTTGGTAATGAAGAGAAAGGTGATTTGGGTTTTGACGCTTCCTGCCACTTTTTGCTCTTCTTACGAAACCGATTATGAGGCTAACAAGGAATTACTGTGGATGAACGTGTCTTAAAGTATTGTAAATTTTCGTCATATAGCTTTGGTTTAAGCAAACTGATTATAAAACCATTAATCCCAATCCCTATTATTTATGACTCTCATGTCTCGGATTTCAGGACATTTTTACAATTTGTGTGTAGAATGATTCGTATTAATTATATTCCCATTGGCTGCCTGTGAATTGCCGCATATATAGATTCATCAATCTCCTTGACATGCTCGCAAGATTTTTATTTTTATATTTTTGTGCTGCATAAGCTGGATTCCTGTGTTTTGGGATGAGGGCAGAATTTTCTGCCTGCTCTTACAAACATGCCTTAGACGCTGAATTTTGTTTTTCTCTCTCTTTTTTTTTTGCGAATGATTTAAGGCTTGTTAAATGATGGGCAAGCAGAATTTATAAACTAAAAAAAAAAAAATCATATACCACTACTAAAAAATAGGGGTTTTAGCAGTTTCTTTCTATTTTGCCATCCCGTAGCATTTTCAAATTGTCAAGCACTACCTGATATAAATGGTGCTTAAAAAGCATTGCTTTTTATGGAAAAAGTTAGCAATTCCTCAACATGAGTCTTGGGTTTCAAATATATGTAAAGCTTTTATAAATAAATACAGATTAACGTGGTAGGGTGCCCTGGCCCCTCCCCCAATATTTTCTAACAAAATTTATTGATCCAAATAAATTAATATTGAGTCATGTCTCCCTATGTTTTTCAATTCAGTCACAAAACCTGAACTTTGAAAGAAATTTTTTGGTTCCGGTAAAAAAAAAGAAATTTTTTTGTTCTAATTATTTGAAATACAGCGTAAAGTATTTATGAATAAATACACACTAGGGTGCACTGACGCCTCCCACAAACCTATTGGTTCAAAAAATCAACATTAATTGGATTTGATAATTTTATGCGGAGTTTTGGGTTTTAATCATTTTAAATATGAAGTAAAACTA